ACGAATGGTGATGCCTTGCCATTTCATTTATCATATCACTATATTATATGGTGAGGATGAGAGTAAAAGCACAAAGGGCCGTGCCATTACATTTATAATACTACATGGTGAGGATGAGAGTAAAAGCACAAAGGGTGATGTCGTGTCATTGTTGATTTTATTGCTTTATTTGATTTCTGGATTGGTGATTTAATCGGTTGCATTATTGTTTATTTTGAAAAAAGGCTACTTGGTGATTTTGTGCTTACCATTCTTATCTTACTTGCTTTTTTACATGTTCCCTACCCATTATTATTTTAAAAGCTCTACTTGTTATTTCTGTTGCTTTATGTATATATCTGCACATGATTTTAGTAGGTGTCGTGTCATAGCCTCGTCGGGGTTAGGCTCGGTACTTACGAAGTACATTGGGTCGGTTTTACTCATGCTACACTTCCGTACTTCTTTTGCAGATTATGGTGTTGGTCCCAGCAGTGTCTAGCAGTGCTTTTGCTCGGATCATATCTAAAGCGGAAACTTGAGGTAGAGCTGTTGGCGTTCGCAGTCCCTGAAGTCCCCTTATATTTCTATCTTTACTTTTTATTTCATTTCAAATAGTTGTATTTCGTTCAGACCATACTTTGTAGTATTCTAGTTGCTCATGTACTGGTGACTCGAGATTTCTGGGATTAGACTAGATTGTGTTATATTATGGAATTATCATATGTATTCCAGATTTATCAATCGTTAATAATGGTTATTACACTGTTTTAAAATTGTTAAAATGGTTATTTGATTATCTAGTGTTGGCTTTCCTAGCAAGTATATGTTAGGCGCCATCTGTCACGCCCCGGCCATGGGGAGAACGACTGGCGCTCAACCGAGATACCCCGGCCGAGCAAGCATGTGCAATACCTTCTACCCAACTCGCCCGTGAATAAAGAGAAGATACATTTAATTAATTAGACAGTAAGAGGTCATGTAAATAATACCAGTTCATTTCCATTAGTTACTTCGTTAGCATGTCTCCAAAATAGTACATTGTACAGTCATAGTTAAAGTGGAACAGATGATACGAGTACAACATTTTTAGTATAACCTTCCCAAAAACGGATACTACTCACACTATGTCTACGGAGCCTCTAACGGATACAAAAGAGTACTAGGACAATGCCGGCAATAAGGTCACAGCTATACCTCAAAACACAATATATGAGAAACAAAAGATACATGACCCCGATATGAAGTGGGGCTCACCAAGTCAGCTGAGAGGAGGATATACTACTATCACTGATCGATGCCGCCTGCTATGGAACCACCTGCATCCATTAAAAGATGCAGCGCCCCTGGCAAAAGGGACACGAGTACATGTGGAATAGTACTCGTATGTAAGGCAGACTGAACAACATATGAAAATACGGTAACTCAAATAAGAGGCAAATAAATTACATCAAGAAACTACGAAATGACCCATAGCATCACATGTCAAGTCTTATTATACTTACATCATTATGAACTTCTCTTAGGATCAAGTATGCCCTATGAACTATGCGTGGGATACAAAATATAACGTAAAAGTACCAACATGTACAAACAAGGGCAATGGAAGTGGCACTTATTGTTCGTGTTGCCTATGCGTCTCACCAGACCGTCCATAGGGTTCACATATTATGTTATACACCTATGCGTTTCATAGACCGTCCATAGGGTTTTATTCATATTACACACCGATGCGTTTCATAGACCATACATAGGGATTCATTCGTATAATACACCTATGTATTTCATAGACCGTCCATAGGGATTCATTCATATTATACACCTATGTGTTTCATAGACCGTCCATAGGATTCACATATTATACCATCATGCACACGGCCATATTTACACTCAAGCGGCATGATTAACATTACCTTTAAGGTCGTAAGTTCCAGGATCATTGGAATACCTCATGTTCATACTCATCATGGAGAAACACAGTTTATTACATTAACACATACATGGAAAATCACTAAGTAGATTTCAATGGTGCATGGACCCAATTTTTTTTCTTAAGGTTCATCATCGTTTAGCATAGGACGTCCATTTTCCACCTCATTATATACCTCCTTGTCATCTTAAGGTCACTGGCTAAGTTCATGATTCTCGGTGACTTAACATCGAAGTCATTTACATTCATTATTTCAGAAGCATACAAACTATAGTTGAAGCCATTGCAACATACAGTGCCTCGTGATTCTTATTTCGGCAAACGACCATAATTCATGTTCGTACTATCACTTACTTGTACTTGCCATGGGTGATCATAGGACATTAATGACATTATTATATAAAGGAGTCAAAACTCATCTCATAATCTTTCACACATTCTTTCATTTCATTGGCACTATTGGCCATAACACAATCTCATTCTTGGCACGATGGCCATATTTCATACCTCATACTTCCTTCTTTCACTTTCAAATATCATCACAGGTCATCAACAATAAAGCATTTCTATTCAAGATTTTAAGTCCACATATTGAGCAAATAAGAATGTTGAACACATTGAGATTTCTTACACAACTTGACATAATAGCCTTCATTTGAATCACGGCTTAAAGATATAACATTAGGATATGCAACACATGCTTCGAGCACATTTTCAAATAGAATATAACATAACAAGAACATTGGAATACATATTGAACATATATCTTTCGACACGAGGCTTATTCGGAATAGTCAATTTATAATGAACCACTCGGTACTTACAAGATCATCGTGGAATTCAATTCTAAGAGAGAAGTTTAGCCAACATATCTCTCATTGAGTTTTCCTTAATTCACTACACCGTTCCGTAAATCCTAGCAACTTTGATCTATATAGAGATATGGCCAAATTGAACACAAATTAGAGACTAGTTCATGTTTTCAGCTCATTTGAGCATTTTATCAACTACTAGGTGGGCATTATTATTACTAGCTTCTCCTATGGAGGATTTCCTTCATCCCACAACCCAAAGTCTACCCATTTGAGTTCAACTACCTTCCTCCACATTACCTATTCCCAAATAAAATTTCGAAATTGAAGGTTAGGGCTAGAATCTTACCTCTTGGTTGAAGACCTTGTGAGCTTTCTTGTTGAATTTCAAGGCTTGAGAAAGATTTTGCATGAACAATTAGCTTAGGGATTTCACCTCTCACTCTAGGGCACTTCCTCTCTTTAAAATATTAGATATTCCCTTCAAAATGGTCTCTTACATCTAATTATCGAGATAGGGTCGGGTTATAAAAATTAGAAAAAATAAATCCCCGATGCAGATCTGCGATCGCATATGCGATCGCATAATGCTTCTACGGTCCGCAAAATAGGCCGCATAATGGCCCTCCGGAATTGGGCACCCCTACCTCACTCTGCGACCGGTCTGCGGTCCGCAGACTTATTCTGCGGCCGCATATTGCACCGCAGAACTTTCCTACGGAATTTGTTTTTGTGCTGGATCTGCGAGGGATTATGCGGCCCGCAAAATAATTATGAGGCCGTATAATGGACCGCATAATGGTCCAAACATTTGCCCAGATTTTTGCTTGAGTCTACCACAGATCTACGGTCCGCAAATTAGTTCTGCGACCGCAGAATGGGCCACAGAAATGCCCTGCACTTCCAGAAATTTTTCTTCAACTCCTCAACGCATTGTTCAACCCAAAAAGTCTGAACCGCGTCAACACATAAGCCTACTTCGGCACCACAAACCCTGAATTTTAGGTAAAACTTTACAGGGCCTTACGCGATCACGACCTCGAGGTTGGGATTCCGGGTCGTGACAATATGTGATTATTGTCTACACATTTGGCACAGTACATAAATTTAGTACTCTTCACTGAAAGGAGCCTTCAGGCAAGCAAACTTCAGTGACATAACTAGCTCGCATTTGTTTTTGGAACTTAAACCCTTATAAAACTTTGTGTCGTCTTCATAATTGTGGTTGCTTTGTATTGTCTGTTCTACCGCTTGTAAGTTGCCTTCAACTCTAGAAAATTTTGCATATTCTTCTTCATTTTATGGAATATCTTAAGATATTAGAACCGTCTTTTTACTCTTCGAGCGCCAAGTAAAATGAGTAGAACACTCCACCCATTCACCATGACAATCAACCCCCAATACTATATAATCGACCATTTTATGATCGTAATACCTTAAGATATCACAAATATATATAAGTTATAGATTTAAATTTTTTATTTTTTTTGCAAACATCCTAATGATACTTCAAACATTCTAAGAAGATATTTAAAACATCCTTAGTGGATACTTAGGATGTTTGAAATATCTTAAGAGGATGTTTGAACATATTGAATGGGCTTTTAGGATGTTGGAAATAACTACCTAAAATTATATTAAGAAGAAGAAGAGATTGAATACAAAAGAAGAAGAAGAAGAAGAAAGCATGAATGAGGAATAGGGAAGGGGGCTGGGAGCGGGAATAGTTTCTCATTTTTAGAGAGTGGGTGGGGCCCATTCATGGCCTTTGTAATAATTCTAAAATTTTAAGGTTCTTGTTAAATCCACTTCTAAGTAATAAACCCTTACAAATAAATGAAAAATGACACTATATAGCCGCTCTCAAAATAATAGCAAAAATAATATAATTATATATATATATACACACACACACACACACACACACACACACACACACACACATTCTGTATGTCATATAAGAAAATTATATAAATTTATACACTTTTTTTGCTACCGAATGTAAATAGTTTCTGGTACGGGCTAAAAGTGATAATACCCTAAAATGAAAGCATCTTTTTAACAACAATCTCAACACATTTGTTTAAAAACTAGATAAAGGTTGCCCGTGCTGTGCACGGGCCCAACATATTAAGCATTGTGCTTGTTTTTTCCCACGTGTTCTGGTGCCAATAGAACAATTCTCCATATACATAGATAGTATTAAATTGGATTGTCATAACCAGTAAGCTTTTCGATACATTATATAAATAGCACGACAGTCTAATATCTGCAAAAGAGGACAAAAACATACACTACAATGCTACTGCTACCACAAGTAACGATTACAATCCGGTATTATTAATGCAATACCCACAAAATACATGAAGTGTGTATTTTCACGCACATAAAAATCACAACACATTTAACCGCTTATTCCCTTTTAAGTATCTGGTACAGTAACCAAATCAGTTGCTCTTGTTATACCAGAAACAACAGCACAGTGAACAGAAGAACGTATAAGAAGTTCTATAGTACCTTCAAAAGACAAGTAAACATCAATCAAAAGCTTATGAGTTATTACATTAGAACCAAAAGTTTCTTGAATCGTGTCAAAACTCAAACATCATCGGTATTCTTGTTGGATATCCATTATCCAACCACCAGAACATGGCAGCAAGAGTAAAAACAAGAAATTCAGAACCAGGAACAAAATTATCAATTCCAAAAAGCTAACTTAATGAGTGCAATGGAGGTGAATGAAATGCTAGAAATTATTCTCACAATAGCAGATGTGAAAATCTTTGAAATTAGAGTTGATATTCAATCATCATGTATAGTAACAACTCCTCAGAGGAACTATATTGAGACATAATCACTGCATTCAATCCAAGGCTAAGGTAATATCCAATATTACAACCAATAAATACACATCCGAGAATGGAAAATAAAAATTTCTCCAGGCTTAGAAAGAAAAATGTATTTCTATAAAGAAAAAGGCGAAAAGCATCAAGTTGGAGTATCTCATATAGCTATTTATGTGAACTTCTTTTTCCCATACACATACTTAAGTAGTTCCTAGAGCCTTTTCTCTCAAGACCCGAAGAAAAGGCAAAAAAATCATTTATGTGAACTTCTTTTTCCCTTATACACACTCAAGTTGCATGCATAATTCTAACAAATTGTTGAAATCACATAGGATAGGGATAGGAGAGAAGCACACTGAAATATCTAATTGTTTGTGACAAATTAAAATTTTGAAATATAATATTGAGTAGTTGATTCCACGCCCTTTTTCATATTTCTGATAAGTTAGATAGTACATGAAAAGGGAACACAAATACTTTTAAACACCTTTTTCCATATTTCTGATAAGTCAAATAGTACACAAGAATGGCACACAAATACTTTCAGTAAGTGTTTTTGATATTAAGCTAGTAGCTAAAGATTTGACACCTAAATATACACTAAAAGATTCCATATTTTGAACCTTTTCTGCAAAGGTAATATTTTTGGCAAAAACTTCTACTCTTGTCATCCAAAATTTGAGTAATCACTTTTCCTTTATACGCTATCTCACAATGATACCCCCTTAATTTAGGAGTGCAGTCAAAATATCTTTTATATATCTCATATAAAATTTATGTAAGAACTATATTTTCTTTTCTATATGAAACAATTTAGTAGCTAATAGTTTAACTTTTAAACAGGTTTCCGGATTAGGAGTGTTACTATGTTGAGTTTTATGGGGACACAATTTTATTGGCAAACTTGTTCAGACCGTAAAAGTTTATTTCCAAAAGGCATCTAAAGGTATATCAAAGTGTAACGATCCGGCCGGTTGTTTTGAGTGTATTAGCCCCGACCCCTTGTTTATTACATTCTTTGTGTTGTACTGTGGTTATGTGACTTGCCGGGAGGTTTGATTTTTGATTTCGGAGTGAAATGGGACATATAGTCCCTAAAAATGGAAGTTTAAGCCGTAGGAGTTGACCGTAGATCGAATTGTGTAAAGACGACTCAGGAATGGAGTTTTGACGGTTTCAATAGCTCAGTATGGTAATTTTGGTCTTAGGAGCGTGTCTGGATGTTGATTTGGAGGTCCGTAAATCATTTCGGCGTTAATTGACAAAAGTTGAAAAGTCGGATAATTTTTGAAAAGTTTGATCGGGAGTGGACTTTTGATATCGGAGACGAATTTCGATTCCGAAAATGGGAGTAGGTCTGTAATGTCAATTATGACTTGTGTGCAAAATTTGAGGTCAATCGGATTTGATTTAATAGGTTTCAGCATCGGATGTAGAAGTTAGAAGTTCTAAAGTTCTTTAGGCTTGAATCGATGCACAATTCATGTTTTTAGAGTTGTTTGATGTGATTTTTAGCCTTGATTAGGTCCGCTATGTGTTTTGGAGCTAGTTGGTATATTCGGACGGAGACCCGAGGGATCCGAGTGTGAATTGGATGGGAATCGGATCATTTATGAACTTGTTGGATTGCTGAAAGTGCCCAGCTTCTGGTGTTTTCGCACATGCGGAGAGAATGGCCGCAGGTGCGGGCTCGCAAATGGGAGAACTTGGTCGCAGATGCGGAACTGGGCATGCCCAGCTGGGGGAGCAAGAGCAAAAAATGTTCCGCACAAGCGAAGCTCGGAACTGGGCATGCCCAGTTGGGGGCGCAGGAGCGGAAAACGTTCCGCGGAAGCGGCTTCGCTTCTGCAATAGAGAGGAGCGCAGGTGCGACTGTGTTTTGCAGGTGCGTCGCTTGGGCCGCTGGTGCGTATGCGCAGATGCGAGCCACTTTCCGCAGAAGCAGATTCTTTGGACTTAAGTGAGGTCCGCACCTGCCATGCTTTTTCCCAAGTGCGGAACCGCAGATGCGGCAGCAAGGTCGCAGGTGCGGTTTAACTAGCAAAAAAGGGGAATTTTTGAGAGTTTTGATTCATATTTCATTTTGGGATTTGGGGAGCTCGGTGGGAGACGAAATTTCGAGGAATTTTCAGAGGAATTATTGGGGTAAGAATTCTTAACTCGATTTTGGTTAAATTACACCAATCTATCATTGTTTTTATCATGTAATTAAGGATTGGAGTTGGAAGAATTGGAGAAAAGTGGTAGAACTTCTTAGACTAAGTTTTTTGGTTTTGAAAGGCGAAATGAGGTCGGATTTGAATAATTCTTGTATGGACTCGATATCGAATGAGTGTTCGTTTTTTGTAATTTTGGTCGGGTTTCGAGACGTGGGCCCGGGTCAACTTTTTGGAGCGATTTTTTAATTATTTGCTAAAGTCGTAATTTCATTATTTAAATTAATTTTCTATAGTTATATTTATAGTATGAAATTATTTTGGCTAGATTCGAGCCGATCGGAGTTGGAAAATCGAGGGAACGACTTTCTTATTGATTGATTGAGCGAGATTTGGGGTAAGTGACTTGTCTAACCTTGTGTGGAAAAAATTCTCCTTAGAATTTGGCACTGTTATGGTAAATTGCGATACGTGAAGGCCGTGTACGCGAGGTGACGAGTGCGTACTCGGGCTAAATATTTAAAAAAAAAAACCGATTTTTGCTAAGTAGTTTTTTTTTATTTTCTTAATTGAGTTACTCTAGCATGTGTAGCCATCATGTTTAGCCTAATTTCACATGTCTGCGTGTCTTATCTCTTATTTGCAATTTGTACAATATGCTCAGTTGAATTACCTGCTTCCTTGATTCTGTATTCATTCTTTAATTATAGGATTCTTTACTTGTAATATCATTATTTCATTTGTTACGTGTTGGTTTTCGTGATTATTGTCGAGATGATTGTATGGTCATGGCACGAGGTTTCTGCCGTGCGGATTGTTATTATGGCACGAGGTTTTATGCCGTGCGGATTGTTATTGTGGCACGAGATTTTTGCCGTGTGGATTGTTATTGTGGTACGAGGTTTCTGCCGTGGGGATTGTTATTGTGGCACGAGGTTTCTGCCGTGCGGGTTGTTATTGTAGCACGAGGTTTCCGCCGTGCGGGTTGTTATTGTTTGCACGAGATTTTTGCCGTACCATTGTGAGATATTTATTTTTGGGACTACGAGGCGGTACATCGGGAGTGCCCTTGTTGTTTTTCTCTATTTGATGTATTGTTGTTGTTGTCGTTCCTTAACTTGTAAGATTCTTACATCCTTACGTGTTGTAATTGTCTTCTTTGATTCCGTGTTGTTACCTTCTGTGAATTTCTATTGTTACACTTCTTTGTCATTTCATTATATAATTATATCTTCCGCCTTGTTTCTTATTATTCCAGTAGGGCCCTGACCTGACCTCGTCACTACTCTACCGATGTTAGGCTTGACACTTACCGAGTACTGTTGTGGTGTACTCATACTAAGCTTCTGCACATCTTTTTTGTGCAGATCCAGGTACTGCCTACCAGATTAGGTACCAGTGAGCTACCCCGTACGTGGAGACTTCAAGGTATATCTGCCAGTGTCAGCAGATTTCGGAGTCCCCCTTTATCTCTATTATGATGTTTCCTTATTCTCATTAGACTATGATGTATAGGGATATCTAGTATTTCTCTTTAGAGATTGTGACTTATATCTACCGGGTTTTGGGAGTTGTTTATACTTGAGTTGCAGTTTTTATTTATTACAATTATTGACGTTTTGAGTTTTAGCTTAATATTTCAGTTATTCCGCATATTTGATAGGCTTACCTAGTCTTGGAGACTAGGTGTCGTCACAATATCATACGGAGGAAAATTGGGGTCGTGACATAAAGTGAATGTATTTTGGCCAGCAAAAGTTATTTGCTTCTTAATCTTTCTCTTATAAAATGTCATAACGTTCATTACTCGTACTTCTTGAAAAATACATGTGCAATTGCGCCCAACAGAAGAAAAAACAGCATATTCAGTTAGAATAAATGTTTGAGAATATTTGAAATTATTTTATTATTTTCACTAATCCAAGTAAGGGAGTAAGGATATAAATCTTGAATCCAACAAAAACCAAGTCTCGAAGTTCCATATTCAGTTATCAGCTTTACAACCATTAAGAAAAACTAAAAGCTCAAATCCAAAGCTTCCTCTTTTAACCATTCACGGATTTTTGTTGATCATTCATAACTCTAAATATATTTCATTATGATCATCCTCGGGTTTAGCAGATCAAAGCTAGACAAATACTTACAGGAATACCAGATTTGTATGTACAAGTGGATATGTTCGAGACAGAGAATAAGGGCTAATGAATATTTTAGATAGATATAGATTGGAAAAACATTGTTACATCCTCAGACTAAAGCAGATTTATGCCATGTATTAGTCAATCAGCGCAAGTTTTTTTAATTAAGTACTTTAAGTCCTGACACTTATAATTCTTTAATTAAGATTAATAACTTACGGATTTTTGAGAGGCTATGCAAAAGAATGACACCAAAGTTGATAGTCTAGCCAAGTGAAGCATATCAAAGATGTCGTCAATCGGCCATACTACCTGAAAGCAAAGCCAATGATTACATAATATAAGCAATAGTGAAGGAAGAGGCATATTATATATATAAAGTCTTTCACCTACCTTGTTATGTTGCAAGGTACTCTTGGTCATTCCTAATTTAATTGAGTTCCTTATTTTTTGAAATGGCAATAAGGTAGTGCTGGAATTTTCAGTTCAAATGACCAAAAAACTAAATGTATAGCCGTCTTCTAATCTTAGAGAAATTCTAGGAATTTCATCACAGTTCTAGTGGTCAATCCTACATTTCCCTTCTTGACATTGTAAAAAATCAAAATCAGTGTTATTATTTAGTTTATCATTTGTACACCTTTTTTGATGATTGAATATTGGAAAAGAGGCCATCTGTTGCAGAAACATGTATCCCACATTGAAGAATGTTACATAAGAAGATGATAAGCACACAGATATTTGCAACATTCTATCTTTCTATTACAGATGTTTGTTTCCACATAAAGATGTTCTCATCCTAATGGAAGTCCAAGTATTTTTTTTCTCTGCTAATAATGTCTATAAATTTTGAGGCTTATCTCTTACTTGGTGCAGCAGAACTGAAAAGTATAAGCAATTTCTTAGCATGATAATCCTAAGCATTACAACTTGCTTGCTGACATAATCCAAGTGCCAGAGCTAGTAGACAATACTTCAATAATAGCTCATGATTACCCAAGTTGTAGGCTCAAATATGTTTTTTAGAAGATTAGAATCAACCAATAAAATTAAGACATTGTAGAAATAAATCACAGAAGGAACTACTAATTTCCTTGAAGCGGATCAAACTGTAGGTTTTTCAAAGGATCAATTCCATGAGGGAAGTTAAAATAATTTCTCAAAGTCGCTAATTCTTATCACTTCACTTATTTGGTCAACTACCTTTATATCTCAACTATATTCAAAGTAACTCGACCCAGATTGAAATGAGAAACTGATTCCCAATATAAAGAGCTTTGAGATTTAACTAGAGTATTTATCTCAAACAAGCTATGCCTAACTCACTTGCTACTTGTAAAAAGGTGCTTGCATTTTAATTTCCCATTATGATGATATCACAACTATTTTCAGAGCAAGCAGAAGTTTTTAAATGGTACTTTCTCCTACAACAAAGTATGGAACTTGTAAACCTGAATAGCAAAGGAAGACGGAGCAACTGATATGGCTTTTTCAAATGTCAAATTATCAAGCCTTAATTGCCGCCAATTTGTAAAAATTTGCGGTATCTTTGAACTACTTGAAACTCTTAAAATTATCTCCTGCATTTAAAGCAATGTTAAACTCTACTGTTAGAAAATCTAAGGAAATCTCTATTCTCTCGATTAATAAATAGAATTGTCTAAAAATGAAGTATCTCCACAATGAAAAACAAAAATCCATGGAATATGAAGAAGAAACCTATCTACAGTAATCTAGAGTAACGTATCTGCACAAGTGAAACAAAAAATGACTTATAATAAATTTTTCCAGGTAATGAAGTATTCAGAGCAGCTAATTACAATCTTAAGTGTCAGAACGCACAAGTTTCCTAACGGGGAATCTGAAATGAAATTGTGGACTTCACTTTAAAAAAGATGAGTCAGGCATATCATCTTCTTGGGTGCATAGGCCGCTTCAATGATTATTATTATTATTGTTCATAATCACACTATGAAAAAAAAAAAAAAACAAAGAGATTGAAACTCAAGCTGGTAAAGCAATCATACCAGATGTATATTAGCGGTAACCACCGATCAACCCGTCCTCTCTGTCTCCGTGTTTGTCTCCTATTTCAGAATTGCATCTTTAGATAGGTTAATCTGCAGGAAAAAAATAACGTAAATTAAGAGACCCAATCTTCGAACGAATATTGATACCATAAAATTTTAATAGGACCGTTTAATCCTGAACTGAGTAGTTGGTAGCAAAAGTTAAATTTCATAAAAAAACAAAGTAAATGTGCAAATTAGTAACAATTATTGGCATTTATGTAAAAATTCCAGCAAGAATTATGCAAAAAGCAGAAAACGAACAACTTTCATAAAAAAAACATAGAAAATGTGCAAATCATGAATATTTACTGATATGTATGTAAAAATTCTAGTAACAATTATGCAAAACAGCAGAAAACGAACGTTTACCAACCAAAATTTAGACAAGTAGTAGAACAAGTATAATAAACAAAGAAAATTGCACAAACAACAAACTAAATTAAAAGAGCTCGCAGCAAATTCAAATAGAACAAAGATGGATAAACTATCTGCATATGCCGACAGGAGAATTCACATAGAGAAATCGAGAAGTAAAGGGAAAAATAAAGAGGTATACAGGGAAATAGACGATGAGTAGAGTAAGGCAGATGATACAATGAAAAGGCTCTGCATGTCATAGCGCTTACCCAGCAAATTTAGGCTACGTGTATAGTGTACAAAGCCCATGGAAATATTTGAACTCAAAAAGGCAATGAAACAACTTAAAGGCCCCTGTCTTGGCACCTGAAATGACCAAATTGCCCTTGGTAAGCAGGCATGACCATCATGACCTGCATCTATATATGTTTAAAAATGGCAGAATGGCCTAAATGACACATATATTTGTGCCACTTTATCATGCCGGTCCTCAAACTCAATAATTTGCCAATTAAACACTTACACTCCTTCAAACCGTGTATAATAAACGTTTATGACATAAGGTTGTTAGTGCGTGTAATATAATCTCCTCCACGTTGGCTGCCACGTCAAAAAATAACAATGTGTAAATGTCATGTCACATGGTAGATTAAAAATAATTAAAATTAAAAATAAAAAAAAAATAAAATTCAAACATTAATCCCCTAATCCCCTCCCTCAAATGGTGCGACTGCTGTGAACAGTAACACAACAACGGCAGAATGGGCACTGCGCCGTCGTCCGGTGGTGAAAAGCCACCGGACTAGTCCCAAAAGATGCGTCTCACCATTGCACATAAACCCCACCTAGGCGCCCCTCTCATTTCTTCCCAAGCTGCTACAGATTTCAACAATGGTGGATCGAGTACTGCAGCGAAAAATCGCTTGGGCAAAACTGATATTTATCATATCGGTTCTGGTTCAAATCGAGTAATTCCAAGCAGTGGAGATTGTTCTCCAATTCAAATACCATCGACCCACCAAGTTTCAGACAATTTCAATGCCGGAATAGTCTTCTCCAACCAACCGAATATGGCCGACGAACACCAGTTGGCCGAGCATGGAGCTACAAGTGTCCAAATTGAACAAGACTTATGCCAATTAACTCCAACTGAGCAAGTGATTGATGCCAAACGATCAAACAACAACTACAATGAACCAATCATCATAACAATTCAAAAAACAAAATCTACAGAATTGCAGACACCAGGTGTTCAACGAAATACTAAAGTCAGTTTTAACAAGTCTTGCCTTATTTGATTTTTGAAATTGGGGGTTAAATTTTCTCAAAAAGCTCTAATATTTTTAAAGGATTAATTGGTAAAAGATGTATAATTTGTGCTTTAAAATTCTTTATGGGTTAATTTTGAGGTGTGGTGATTTTTGAGGAATTTTCGGTCGACCCCTTTTTTGGTTTGTTGGTATTTTGATAATTTGATGTGTTTCCCTTCTACAAAAAAGGCATAAAATTGAATTTTAAAAGAGATATGAATTATTGGCCAAAGGATTCTAAATTCATGATAAAGTTTAAGATTCGAGAGAAGAAACAAACAAAGAAAATAGGGGAGGGGAGAAAGAATTGGACATAAAATGTTGAAGAGAGAGAAAAAAAGAATTGGACAAAAAAAGTTGGAGAGGGAAAAAAGCAAAATAGAAAATTTCACTTTTGTTCAACAATGGATGAAAACAATCGGAAGAAGATGACAGAAATAGCTCTTGGTATACGCTTCAATAAAAAATACCACATATGATGAGTGGAGTTTAAAATGCTCATAAGGGCAGACAAGTTTGGTTGGTAAATTTGCAAGTACGAAGCACGACAAAGCTGGTCTATTCTGCCTTTAAAAATTAATAGTACTGCAAGTTTTCAAAAGTATCAAAATTTAGATCCCTCAACAGTCAACACTCAAAGCTCTTTTCACCATGTTCAATCCCCTCCAACGTATCCCACTCCTCTTGTTCTTCCTCTCACTCTCCACTATCTCTGCCTCCGAATCAGACACACCCATTTCCCGTTTCCAAAATTACCTCAGAATCAACACCGCCCACCCTAACCCAAACTACACTTCCCCCATCACTTACCTCATCAACTTCGCCAGCTCCATCCCAAACCTCCACTCCAAAGTCCTCCACCTAACCCCCACCATACCCCTCCTATTGTTAACCTGGCCCGGTACCTCCAACCCTTCACTTCCCTCCATTCTTTTCAACTCCCATCTCGACTCCGTCCCCGCCGAGCCCGAAAAGTGGACCCACCCACCCTTTTCAGCTCATAAAACTTCCGATGGAAGAATCTTTGCGCGTGGCGCCCAGGACGATAAGTGCATTGGCATGCAGTATTTGGAGGCAATCAAAGCGATACAGAGCAAAGATCCCGACTTTAAACCTATAAGAAATGTTCATATATTATACGTTCCCGAGGAGGAGGTGGGTGGGTTTGATGGGATGGGGAAGTTTGTGGAGACTAAAGAGTTTAAAGAGTTAAATGTTGGGTTTGTGATGGACGAGGGACAGGCTTCAACTAATGATGAGTTTAGGGTGTTTTATGCTGATAGGACACCTTGGCATATGGTGATTAAGGCTGTTGGAACACCTGGACATGGGTCAAGATTGTATGATAATACTGCTATGGAGAATTTAATGAAGAGTATTGAGGTTATTACTAAGTTTAGGGAGTCTAAGTTTGATATAGTCAAGGCTGGATTGGCTGCTAATTCTGAAGTCATTTCTGTGAATCCAGTGTTTCTCAAGGCTGGAATTCCTTCCCCAACTGTGAGTTTTTGAATTTTCGATTGAGTTTGATCTTTTGAGATGTGTTGTTTTTCGAGCTCCTGTTGAAGGGGGTCTATAAGGGGCGGGTCTAAGATTTGAATTTTATGTGTTCTGGATTCTAACAGCAATCTCAATTGCTATGTTTTGAGTTAATTTTTGTACATATTTAGTGCATTTCTTAATACAGAGTTTGGGCCAAAGTTACTGTAGTGCTATGCTCTGCCTAATCCCATATCTTAAAGCCTACTGTAATTTGGGAAATGATACTGTAGTAATTTGGAATGCTAAATGTAGTCATCCGAATTGTTATTGTTTCTCTTTCCAATTCAATTAAGAAATATGTGATGCCAATAATAGTTTCTTGGTGATTAGTCTTTCAAGTTCTGTTTAGCTTAAAAGATTTTGTGGTTCTTAAAGTATATTACGTGGTACCTGTTGCTGGTGGGAGTACTAGTTGCTGGTGGGAGGTGTCACGTATCCTGTGGAATTAGTTGAGGTGCGCGCAAGCTGGCCCGGACACCACGGTTATAAAAAAAAAGTATATTGAAGTATGATCCAAAGAAACCTACCAATAGGGAATAACTTTTAAGTTTAAGAACGAATTATGAACTTGTTCCTGTTCCGTTAACAGCTTTCTCTGTATTAGGCAACATTGGCTTATGGTTTAGTGGGCTTATATTTCCTAGTTGTTTATGGTTCTGCTTATATTTTTGTTCTTTAATTAGGAGTTATGATTTATGGAGGCCTTCTGATTTGCTTGTGCAGGGATTTGTAATGAACATGCAACCCTCTGAAGCTGAGGCAGGATTTGATATTAGGATGCCACCAACGGCTGATCCACAGCTTATGAGGAAGATAATTGAAGAGCAATGGGCACCAGCTTGGAGGAACATGACATATGAGGTGAATAGTTGCTTTTTCTTTGTGCTTATCGTTGTTAGTTTGCAGACCTTAGCATATCTTTCGGCTTTAGATTAAAAATGATAGTGCTCTTTATTATCTTACCAGAATTGTTCGGAAAATTTGAGGTCTATCAATAGTATACTGAAATATTTGAATAGCAGTTTAAATTAAGTTGGTAATATCAGCAAGTAGGTTTCTGTTGTTGCCTTAATTGAAGAGACAAAACTCATTAGTGAACTCCAAAAAAGAGGGAAAATTAGGCAATGAGAGAGCGAGAGATATCACAAGACTATCTTGTGCAGTGAATCAAAGGAAGTACTTTCATGAATCAACGGACTATAGCTCCAAAGCGGAATTGAGCTAGTGGTTCTCACTTCTCAAGGATTTAGGTAATTTGATGCTGCTGTGTTCCCAAAAGCGATGGGAATTGTATTTTGGATGTCATTTCTCTTAGAAAAGGAATAGCTTCAATGCCTTGGTTTAGGAGCGTACTAATTACAATGTCCTTTAGAGGATTTTGTGAGACTAAAGAAGGCCAATTTCAACATTCTGAATAAAATGGAATATTATAAGTGGGTGACTTTAGCGGGTGCTTTAGTCTCTTCTCAATAAATTTCCAGAAAGAAGCTCTTCCTGCTCTTTGAACTATCGATATCCATTTGAAGGTGGCAAACAGAAAATCTTACAAAGACATAGCAGCAGATTGACTGTTGTTAACACCAAAATTGGGATATGGAACTGGCTACATCTCCATCTAACAAACTAAGCTGCCGTTTTGGCCATGCAAAATCCGTACTCTTTTTCAAAAAAACAAAATTGAAATAATGGTTTGCCCATAAAAAAATGTCAGTTTTTGGAGATTTTTTGAAAAACAGTTTTTGAAAACCAAGAAGTGGTAAAAAAGTTTCAATATTTTTCAAAAAATCAATTTTCTCCTCTCACAAAATATTAACTTTTTTAAAAGTATCATATCGAAACACAACTTCAACTTCCAAATACAATTTTTTAACTAATTTTTTTTTTTTTTTTTTTTT